TTACACGTTTCATTCGCCCTGTACGATGGGCGCTGTAAGTGATGGAAATGGGGGATGTTGGCTTATCTGGCGCCCGCAGCTCACAGCCAAAGTGCGAGTGAGCGAGGGAGAGAGGGAGGGTGCACCGGTACCGGCGCTGTTGTTATTAGAATCTGGTGCTAGCTGCGGATATAAGAAGAAGATGTTTCTACAATAATGTGGAGGGAGAGTCCTCTCCAGTCAGACTGAGAGACTGATAACTACAGCTCAGTGAGGTAAAGGACTCTGAGTGTTTAGATAGTTCACTTTAGTCTAAGTTCAAACGGTTTGGTCACAATTTATGTAAACACATATTTTCAAGGCACTCCTTTATAATTATTGGGATAAACAGGTTTGAAATCATTCCAATGTATACTATAGGACAGTAACCAAACATATCCTTTTAAAACTGGACTTTTGACCCAAACCCAGCTGTTGACTTGTGGATTTAAGCAGCTAATCGCAGACTCAACCAGAGAGAAAGAAGTAGGCCTACATCATCAGCTACCATGTCTGACAGTGAGGAAGACAGTGAGGAGGACAGTCAGGAGGGTAGTGATGACAGCTTGTATTACTGGTCGTGCTAATGTTGTCTTGTGTTCACCTCTGCATGTGTGTTCTGTGTTCACCTCTGCATGTGTGTTCTGTGTTCACCTCTGCATGTGTGTTCTGTGTTCACCTCTGCATGTGTGTTCTGTGTTCACCTCTGCATGTGTGTTCTGTGTTCACCTCTGCATGTGTGTTCAGTGCCGTGTGTCTGGCAAATAAAAACCGGTTTATTTATTTCATTTTAAGGATGAGCACCAAGCAACATCTCCAGGTGCTCCTTTGAGAACCAGGGCAAAAAAGTTATGTGCACCCCTGGTTATACACACCTATATAGCACACCTATTGGATGGGAAATTGCCTTGGGGAGATAAGGTGTGGTCTTTGTTCCCAACTGAAGTTATGGAACTTTATTATTTGTGAGTTTAACAAAGTATGATAAATGGCATCAGTAACATATGTGATATGAATTTCTATAAAGTTGTCTCACATTCTTGGTCATATTTTATATACAGTATGTAATGAGTATAACATGTCCAGTAAGTATAAAGTGTTTCCTAATACTGTGTATTCAACCACTATGGAATATGTATGTGGGCAGACAAGATTCAGACACAGTTGTTCTGTGTGTGAAGTAACCTCAAGTCACTCCGCAGGCACATTTTGATGCAGACCAGTTTGTCAAGACAAAAAAGGGCAAGACTAGGCTGAGAGCAGAGGCTATACCCACCATCTTCGTGCATCGCCCTGTGGTCAAAAAGAGAAGGGCCCCTGCACCACGATTCACCCCGGGACCTGTATCTACAAAGCCCATAGCTCATGATCACAGCGATAGTGTGAAAGGTGACACAGGTATAATAAGTATGAACTCTTAGTAACAAAAGTAATATTTGTTATTTTTAAGTGGTATAATATTTAAAATGTTTCGAAAATTACAGTGCCATGTCTTCTACTTACATTAGTCTCAAAGATTGAGGGAAGAAGGGATGAGGAGACTGAGAGAAAGGAAAATGAGGGTGAAGAAAGAGAGGACATGGCTAGTGAGGAGAGACAGGGAGGGCGGACACCACCCACTCAGCCAGTCAGCATACGAGGGAACCAGCAGCCAGTCAAACAGATCTATTACAACAATTAAAGAGCCAAGAAGGAATCACCAAAAAAGCAAAGGCTGCTAGGGGTGTAACGGTTCACAGAAGTCACGGTTCGGTTCGTACCTCGGTTTGGAGGTCACGGTTCGGTACGGTTCGGTACAACAAGAAAAGGCAAAAAAAAGTCCCAAATGCATAATTCCAGGTTTGTTGTTATTTATGATTGAACAGTAGCAAGTTTCAGTTTAAAAATAAAGAACTCTTTTTTGAATAATGAACTGTATTAAACAGTTAAAAACAAACCATACACAGTACACTCAGATGGCCACATTATCTATAATGGCTGATGTCAAACAAAAAGGTTTCATCAAGCTGTAAAACTAAAAAGAATGTCTTGAAAATATGACATCATAAATAATAAGAAAGTGTTTCAAGGGCGCAAAGTCGTTGAAAAACATATGCCAAAAGCTTCCGTTATTTATGTTGGTCTCTCGGCTTTCATGTCTATTGTCTTCTTAAAAACAGCGGGGATAAGCTGTTGAACTGCTGTTGTCTTTTGCCGGGCTCCGGTGATTGGCAAATCTGGGTGATGCCTTCTGATATTATTTAGCATGTTTGGCGTGTGTTACCATTAGCATACCGCACCACTGTCTAACAACGCCGACACACCGTCCTCGTCCGATCCACCACTGGTACACTCCATCGTTATTGTAGTCCACAGGGAACCCGAAATGTTCACACACAGCTGATTTAAAAGAAGCAGGTGGGTTCTAGCTCCGGTGTGTTATCTGAAATCGCCATACTAACTTTTCTTCTTCTTGTATTTTGTTCGTTTTGTTGTTGTGTTTCTTCTTGTTCTTCATTTGTTGTTTAAGGGCGGCTGGCAAACAGCTTTTAGGCGCAATACCGCCCCCTGGATTATATATAGTGTAGTGGTAACTGCCCTGAATGACACTTTTTTCCCACTCATAAAAAAAAGGCGTATTCGTCGTGTGACTGCGTGTGCCGAACCGTGACGTCCGAACCGTGACGGTACGGGACGAATACGGATACCGTTACACCCCTAAAGGCTGCACTAAGAAAAACCAGGAAGGAAAATGCAGCTCTCAAGAAAACAATGAAAATTAGGGACAAGAAATATAAGAAAACGTTTTCAAAAGACCAACTGAAGGCATTAGGCAGACTCACCACAAAGGGGATGAAATGGAGCAATGAGACAATTAAGAAGGCACAAACAAAAACAAGCAAGGTGTCCCGTCATGTACCTGGAAGTTTGGGTTGGCAAAATGGAGTAAGAGAGGGACTTGAAAAACCTTGGTGGCTCTCTACTCATGTTGTTACAGTTGTCTTGGTTACAGCTCTCAAGTTTTTTTGTTGCCATTTCCACATCTTTAGAAAATATGAAATAAAAAATTGAAGTGAAATCAACCTCTTCTCTGGAGAACAAACTTTGATTTCTCTGTCTTGTGAGTTTGCAGTCTTGCAGTTTTGCTCCTCCACCTGTAACATCACTGCCCCTCCACCTGCCATACAGTAGGTTACTAACAAGATTACTTATATAATACAGTGATAGAATACATGTTTAGTATGCTTACTTATATAAAACAGTAGTATTAAACTTACCTTGTGTTTTCACTCTCACTTAAGTCCCTCTCCCTTTGCCATCAATCCAAAATCAGCTGAGCTGCAACATTATACAGACAGGTAATATTCAACATAATCACAAGGACACAATATGGCTCTGCTAAAAACACTTACTCTTACACGCACCAAAGTTATATTTATCTAATATTTAACTCCCTCCACCCCCGCATACAATCCCCTTTAGAAGCCCCTCTTCTCTAATTCAACAACGTTGGACGAAATGACATTAAGAGAACGGAATTTACAATTAAAAGGCTGTTCAACGTGTGTTGCTAACTTGCTTCGGTATCCTAGCTTAATCTGTTATCTGTAAACGTTCCCTAAATCTACTAATTTAGGGATAATCCACTGACATCCTTTAATACACATGTTAATTTGAATCAGATGTACTGATAATATCCGCAATATAAATCTTTAAACTTCTTCTTACCTTTAAAAGTCCGTCACGAACGGTCTATTATGCTGCAACTCTACAGCTCTGCTAGCCTTGGCGCTAACTTCCGGGGAACGATTGAGAGGCTCCACGATCCGCCATTGCTGTAAAAAAGTGGTCCATTGGAGTGAACGGAGATGTCGTAACTCTTCTATTATATGGCTCTGGTTCAGCCATTCTCCGCAAGGGTTTTTGAAATTGGTCCGTGCGCAAAGCATTGTGGGGATTTTAAGGACGCGAAGTCTACCCATGTGCAGCCTCAACATTTCTCCCAAACCAAGGACGCGGCCTCGGTGGAATTCCAAGTATGCTGGAGATTGGAACAGTCCTTCGGTGGCACTCGATGACGTAGTATCCTTGAAATATTGGCTTGGAAGCCAGTATCCTCGAGATTGAGAAACGGCCATGGTACCGACAACGGTCTAGCCTACGGAGGGCTTCGTATTTACGTCACGTGATACGCGCTGTTCGGTTGCGCTGCTCCAGCAGCCTGCTAGCAAATTAGCTTACAAGCTTACTCAGCTGAAAAGGATCCAGAAACTTTACTTTTACATTTTACATTTTTTTGGAGATCACCGTCGGCGATGAATTAAAGAGGACCATGGCCAGGTAAATAAGATGAAGCTGTTTCTTTAGCCCCCAGTAATGTTACATTAGTAAGTTAACAAGTCAATTATAAATAGCTGATGTAATTTAATCATATTATTTCATATTTAAAATAAGTCTTAATTTTTCTGTACTAATAAAACAATGTTTTTTTAAATGAACAAAAGCATGTTGTATAGATTGATTGTTAACAATAGTAGTGTTCTAATTTTAATAGCTGTGATTATAACAGTTTATATTCTCCTTCTTCCCCTAAACCAGCCCAGATGATGTCCCACTGACACCAGGTCAGCACCTCCAGGTCCAGCACCACCGTGACCCCCCCCCCCGCCCTACTGAAATACACAATTAAACATTGTCTATGACCTATTTTTTCTATTAATAAAATTAAACTGAAGACAGTTTAATGACCTAGAGATACCCTATTATTCCACTGCTTTACATGTTGTAAATAATGGTTAAAACCTCAGCAAATGAAATAAACAATGTGTTTAACAATTACAATTTAATATTGTATTTTCATCTTATCACAAAGTAGAGGTAAGAATATATCCATCCTCTCTCTGCAGCTTCATGTCTTCTATTATTATAACTTTCATCATTGAGACAGAGGAAATCAATCATGTTATTTAACATCACCAGCAGTAAAACAAATATCAGCAAAAGTGTGTTTATGGAGTTGTTTATTTGTATTATATGTGCGGCAAGTATATAGAAGCAGCTGTTTGGGGAATCAGACAGACTCAAGCTATAATCGTTAGATATCTATTAAAAAAAAGGACACATACAAAATCAAATTCTGAAAGTAAGACACAAGTCTAGGACGGCAGTAAGCAGAGGCCTGGGTGGAGGATGTTCCTGATCGCTGTTTTGCTTTCTTCAGCACCTCGGGGTGTCCAGGTGGATGGCAGCTCTGTCCTGATGATCCGCTGGGGTTAGGGGTCCTTCTCCAGCACCACGGGGGGTCCAGGTGGATGGCAGCTCTGTCCTGATGATCCGCTGTGCACTTTCAGATTAGGGGTCCTTCTCCAGCAGATCCATTTCTCCAGAACTGTCCTAATTACAGAGAAAAACAAAAAAGTGAATTAATCATATTAAACACAGGGTTGCAGAAGTATTATTGCAAAATGTAACTCAGCATTTCAGACAAACAATCCCTAAACTTTAAAGGATCATTTAAAATGATGTACTGTTCTGGTTTCTAAAAAACTAAAGAGAAGAAATGACAGTCACACAGTTACCCTTTGACAGCACTGCACAAACTAACATCAAGCTAAAGGATGCTGTCTATTTGTGATTGTCTTATTATTATGGGATTAGGATAAATTAAATACACTTTAACCTAAATAAAAGATGATCAAATCTGGTGGAAATATTGAAAATAGGCTTTTTTTTTGCCGCAGCATGAGCTGAATAAAAAGGTTGTAATGTTGTCCCCAAGTTTAATAAACAGTACACAATTGGAACAAGTCAGAAAATAAATAAAGCTACACGTCAGGGTAGCATTTTATAAATCCCACCGTACTGTAGGCTATACCGGTCTAAATGTTTTCACTTTGGTCTATGTATGTAATATAAAGTATAACTTATCTATAACAGAGCCAAGATCTCTGTATGACTTTAGTAAACTTCTGAATTGAATAAAAAAACAAGTGTAAGTACGTCCAGCTAGCTAGTTAGCGTCACATATTTATCCGTATTATATAACGAAAATGTAGCCTACGTTTTAATGCACCTTTGGTTTGACGTGTGTGACGTTAGTTAATTTAAAGTAAGTGTAGGAGCCACATATGAAGCCATTTCTGTGTTTGTTACGATCAGTGCTTGAATTGGAATGAAAAAGGTGCCAGTACTCTAAAATCAGCAACTTTTTCAAGTCAATTTTATATATACAGCCCACAAACAAGAATTTGGCTACTATAATGCTGGTGGGTTTGTCTCTTTACTACTGTATATTTTAGAAAGGTTCACTGTACTTAACATTTTTTATGATAGGCAGCGGATATGGCTAAAGCTCAGTAAGGTCAATATTAACTGAAAATATAGCAATCAAAGTCTAGATCTTCTGCTGAAGACACATGAAGCAGAGACCTTTCAGGTGAGAGCCCCTCTGGTGGTGTTCAACATTAATGACAAGGAAACAAAGCTCTGGTCAGAAGCATTTTTTATAAAAAGCTTTAACAAAATTAAGTATTTCTGTACATTTTGAATGCAATCTAACTTTCCAACTCAGAAAACGAAAAACGAAAAAGTGCCAAAAGTCTTCTCACATGGCTGAGCTGCTTTGCAATATACTTCACCACTGAATAATACAAATATGTATAAAGTAAACTATGATGCAATCTAACTTTCCAACTCAGAAAAATGATAAAGAGCATGAACAAAGACCATGTAAAAACAAATACAAAATTTGCACAATCTAAAATGAGAAACTGTAACTGCAATTAACAAAGTCTGAGCCATGGTAAAGAGTTACATTGAACACCAAGCTGATCAGATAACTCCCTGGTTGGTCTGAAGTCCTTCTATCTCCAGGATCTGTACAAATCGGCACATTATGCCAAAAGTCTTCTCACTGGGTGAGCTGCTTTGCAATATACTTCACATTGTTAGAAAAGGCTCCAGAAGGCCTTGGGGACATCAGTATCAGGGGCTGGAGCTGGAGCTGGACAGGCTCTTTCATCAGCACTTCTCCTTCCCTTTGCCAGCCAGGACCTCACATACTGTTCCGGATTGAACTGTCCTAGTGATGGTCCATTACATTTAATGAAAACCAGGCTGGACAGTCGGCTGACAGAGAGAGCATTCCTTTTTGCAGTAAGGATATCGTTCATGCAGCTGAATGCCCGCTCACACTCACTAGTGGAGACAGCGATGGTTCGGACTGCTTTCAGTAGAGGCTCCATGGCAGCAGGTGTACGGGATGCCCTGGTTTCCTTGTATTCGCGAAAGCCCTGAACAGTCTCTCTTCTGTCCACTTTCAGCACTTCGCACAAACGTAGCACCTCTACGTCCCCATACTGTACGTCTAACTCCTCTTCAGGCCAACTTCCAGGATGGATAACTTTCATGTACTGGATTAGCTGATTGTCCCGGGCCTCCCGGCCATGTAATGGGATTTCTCTTGTGCTGACATGAGAGGAGGTTGTGGAAGTCATTCTGTGTCTCAGATTCTCTACCATACTGCGGAAAAACTGACCTGCATGAATCTGTACAAGCCTGCCATTCTCACGCAGGGCAACACCCTCCCTTGAAGGACTTCTCAGCTAGAGCTGTATGAACTGTAGTCATGTGTGGGCCAGGCATGGTGACCATGGATTCAAAAACTCGTATTTCTCGAGTTAAGAGCCTATCTGCTGTAGGCAGTGTCATCTCTCTTTTTTGGAGTTGCCGAGAGAGGTCGCTGAGCTCTGTGAGCGCATCGTACATCAGTCCCAGATTGCTGACAAACGTTGCAGATGTGAGCACATCATCCAGGCCCTTGTACTTTGCTCTGTCTCTGGAATCCCTGCTCGTGTCGTTTGCAGCATTTGTGAAGTGATCATGAAGCACTCTGTAGTTTTCCCAGACTGCTCTGACGCTCCTTTCACTTGAAGCCACCCAGCGGATGGACAAAACACGCCCTATCACCAGGAGACGCTGTCCGACTGCTTGCGCACACTGCGCTAACTGCCTCTGATTTTTGGGGGAGGCATGGAACAAGGAATAGAGTTTGTCAAAAAAGATCTGGAAATGATTGAGCCCTGAGACCTCCTTGACCACATCCCCAACTGCCAGCTCTAGACGATGATTGGAGCAGTGCCACACAAACAGGCTTGGGAATTTACTACACAACTGGGTAGCAACGCCTGTTCTCTTCCCTAGCATGACTGAAGCCCCATCACATGCAAAATAAACGAAACACTGACCTAAAAAGTCCTCGTTAAAATCTATTCCAAGACACTCCATTAACGCCTTTGTGATGTCATCAGCCGTTGTTCCATCCAACTCGATCAGCTCCCAAAAAAACGTTTCGGGCTCAGCATCAGCTAATGCTGAGCGTAGACACACAACAAGCACCGTTTTACCACTAATAGTGGTAGATTCATCGACCAAAACACAGAGTTTTCTTTGGTTTTCTGTAATATCTTTTGCCATTTTTTTCTTCAGCTCATGAGCTATGTGGTCGATGATTTCGCCACAGGTTTTATTGGAGTGCAAAACCCTGCCCACGTTCAGCCCATTCAGTTTCTGTACATTCAAATCAATTGGCATGTCTGTGAATGGCCGGCTATGTTTGCCAATTTTATATGCCGTTCGAAAAACTCTGATAGTGGTGTCTAATTCAGATTTATGCATAGACTGCACTTGATGTTGAATAGTTTCACGTGAAGCAGATGTAAGGATGTCAGCAGCTTTTACATGGGCTTGTGATTCTTTATGTTCTTTGATTTTTTTTCTCAGGCTAGCTTGTTGTTTGCCCTTGTCAACACCGAAATGAGACACTGCACACTCACCCCATTCAGTTGACAGTTTCAGTCCTTGTCCAGTGTGTATTCCCAAAGATTTGACATCTCTGCATATCCGACATCCTAGCTTCTTATATTTAAGAAGGAGCCATGCATTGGTCTTGCAAAAATATTGCACCTGGTCCGTTGTCCAGCAGTCAGGTGCATCGCTTTGCCCGGTGTTGGTGGTGGCAGTTGCGCCAGCAGCAGCTAACATTAGAGGCTCTGGAGGAGGTGGCGGAGCTAGTGCTAATGCTAATGCACTAGAACTTGGAGCAGGAGGATCAACCAAAGAAAGCTCCCCATCAGACACAATTTCCAACACAGGCACAGCATTCTCTGTATTTGAAGTTTCTTCCGGCGACAACCGCTGTCTTTTTGCACTTTTATTAATCCACGCTAACATTTTAGAAATGCTAATTTGTGACGTGACTTGCTTTCCTTCTCTCGGGGGCGTGCCTGCTCTGTTCTATCACTCTACATAGCCACCCACTGGGTGGGAGTTGCACTGCATAAACACAACACACGTGCATCTAGGTATGTAAATTGTAAAGCATTAAAACATGGTTTTACTAACAGTTTTCAGTATGTTGTTACTTCGGCATTATTATTATTATTATTATTTTGAAACGTGTATTACTATTAAATCACGGTCAAATAGGTTAATTTTGACATAGTCGTTTCCACCACAGTATTTACATGGAGAAGATAAGCCCCGCCCCCTCTCCAGCACGTTCTGTTTGAATGACAGGAGTAAACAGCTGACAGCCGCTGTGAAACTCCAGCGGTTAGAGCGATGAGAATGTCCGTTCGGCACCTCATGACGCATCTACTGAGTACCGGGCGGCTGTATATATATATATATATGGATGTATAATAAGAACGGCGGGAGAGTGTTGAGTACTGGCACGGTGCATGAGTACCGGAGTACCGCCAGCATGCCGGTACTGAGCAAGAAGTGCCGGTACTCCATGGGTCAGAACCAGAAGTGCCGGTACTGCGTACCGGTGAGTACCGGCCCAATTCCAGCACTGGTTACGATACATGTTTTTTGAGTCACTATGGTGGGCAATGGGCATTGGATTTGTGTGGTGACGTTTGTGCTTATATCCGGTTGCTTTTACCTGCGCACTTTGTAATAGATGGGGGAGTGAGCTAGAGAAGGACATTTTTTGTTGAACGCACGCACGCACGCACGCACACAAGGATATATGGATATGGAATATTGCATTTTGGCTTTGGAAATAAAAGGTCAAACGCATACTGTGTTGGAAAGACTGAGTTTTTGCGCGTCCACATGGTTTTTTCTCTTGTTTAGTCCCTCGCGGCACTTTGTTTAAGATTACTGCCGCAATATTAAGTCAACAAAAAAGACTTGTACCACAGCGTGGATCTACGGAAATCGAGGCTACGGAGATTCCTAGGATCGATCTGTGACGCTGTGGAATTAAAAGGAAACATTGAAACGTCGTGTTCGCGGCTGTATTGGAGAGCGGCTTAAGGAAACTTCAGCGTACTGCCGGTGTTACCGTTTAACTGGTTACACCGGGGAACTCGTTACGTTCCGTTAACGGTAGGAATGGGGCGTGTACTTTGAGGAGCCATTGTCGAATAACAAGGAAATACACATTTCGATCGCTTCTTTTGTTGTTTACATTTATCTTTTGGTATATTTGGCTCCATAGGAACACTTTGATGCACATCCAGTACCAGTGTGTGAGGTTGTGGTTGCGATGCCGATATCCGGACGCGTACAGCGAGGACTACAAAATGACAATGAGGTGACTGGGGATGTCTGTTCAAAACATTGCAAACGTGAATAAATCATTTCAAATATGTATTTGTCTCCGACTTTCATTTGTACATCGTTGTTAATGTGATGTTTAGTAGCTTTGATAGCTGTCCATGCCTCCAGACAGCCTAAAAGTAAGACACAAGTTGTTTACTCACAGCCCGAATGCAGCATCGAGATCCGTGGCCAGCTGTGATCCTCTCCGATTAACTTGTGACAGGACTTCTTTAGCTATTCTCCAGCGAGCAAGGTTTTTATTAAATACCTCCATCCCTCTCATCACAACAAGACTCTACACTGTGCAGAAAAATAACCTTGCTGGATAGCTTAGAATGAAACAAACAAACTATCTTCCATGGCTGATACTGATGTCACAGTAACGGCTAAACCACAGACAAGTCCAGCGGGGGGCACAAGTTGAATCCATATAATGAAATTGTTATTTTATATATATGTATATACATATATATATATATATATATATATATATATATATATATATATATATATACATGCTATATATATTTATATGTATTTCTATCCTACATTGTCTAGGCTATATAAACCGGCAGAAGTGTCACAACTTTCTTGGTTTGTGATTATAGAGAGAGATAGATAGCGACAGAGAGATAGATAGCGACAGAGAGATAGATAGAGATACTGTAGAGATAGACATAGAGAAAGATCGGCTGTGCGTAAGTGAGTATTGTGTGTGTGTGTGTGTGTGTGTGTGTGTGTGTGTGTGTGTGTAGGGGTGTGTGTGTGTGTGTGTGTGTGTGTGTGTGTGTGTGTGTGTGTGTGTGTGTGTGTGTGTGTGTGTGTGTGTGTGTGTGTGTGTGTGTGTGTGTGTGTGTGTGTGTGTGTGTGTGTGTGTGTGTGTGTGTGTGTGTGTGAGGGAGGGAGAGAATAGCTGTAGGGCTAACCAAGAGGGGATGGATTCAGGAGTTGTTAAACAACTGATGGATTTTATGATCCACGATATTTATACTGATGGCTTGAAAAAAAGAACATTGTTGACAATTATCCTTTATTATCTTGTATGAATATATCTGGTATATTTCTCATTTTCCATAAAAGAAAAACATTTATTTGAGTTTGATTCATACAAATACTGTAGATGATGATTGTTGAAAATGCACTTTTACCATAAAACGCCAGCACGACCAGTTGGTTGAGGCTCATAAAAACAAAACTGTGTAGACAGTAAAAAAAAAAGTAGTTTGTGTCCCATTTCATAAAAAAATGAAAACAAATACTTTTTCCATAGATTTTTTTCTTGGTCTGCCAAATAAAGGGTTAAGCCTATATGTTTAAGCAATTATGTCTGCCCTCTCCGTCTTGCACCATTAGGACCCACTGATATAAAATGCTTAACTGCCTAAGTTGCAACTATGCACTTTTTGGTGGGCTAAGCGCCAGCTTCACATATTTTTGGCTACATTTAAAGTGCCAAATGTAAGTTTAGATATTATGCAATGCAACGTTTTTCTTGGCCTACATCAGTGTTATAGAAGCAAAGACAACAGTGATAGTTATGTTTTAGAATAACATTTATTGGAAATTGTTGGAAAAATATCACTTTTCACCAGTTTGAGCTTCAACCTCAGGATCCATGTGTCTGTGATCCTCTCCAGAATGGAAGTAGTCATCACATACAGAGCATCAACTAGTTCCTGAACAGTGTCCTTCACATGCTGATATCCAAGAGAGGGAGTTACACAGTCACAAGGTGGAGGAATAGAAAGCAGTATTCAATGTTTACTTCAGATTAGCTCCGCGTCAGAAATGAGCATGCTTGATGTCTATCTCCATAGAGGCTGAATCATCATGTTCATCAGATAGCTATCATATGCCTCAAACAGTCCTGATGCTCTTCTAGGTAATCACACATCCTGTCATGTTCACAGCTACAGTTGGGATACCTTTGTCATCATGTTAATCACATAGCTATCATATGCCTAAAGGGAGGCATGTGGCGCAGTGGGTTAGTGCGTTGGTGTTCGGATCAGGGACACTTCACCCCAAATTGCTCCTGTGGGGATTGTCCACAGTATTGAGTATGTAAGTCGCTTTGGATAAAAGTGTCTAACAAGTAACATGTCATGTAATGTAAAACAGTCCTGATGCTCTTCTATTTATTTAATGGTTTATTTAGCAGGGGCAATGCACAGTAATCTATCTGTCTCGCTATCTATCTCTCTGTCGCTATCCATCTCTCTCTAAAATCACAAACCAAGAAAGTTGTGACACTTCCGCCGGTTTATATAGCCTAGACAATGTAGGATAGAAATAAATATAAATATATATAGCATGTATATATATAAAATAACAATTTCATTATATGGATTCAACTTGTGCCCCCCCCGCTGGACTTGTCTGTGGTTTAGCCGTTACTGTGACATCAGTATCAGCCATGGAAGATAGTTTGTTTGTTTCATTCTAAGCTATCCAGCAAGGTTATTTTCATTTATGTTGTTTTTTTTCTGCACAGTGTAGAGTCTTGTTGTGATGAGAGGGATGGAGGTATTTAATAAAAACCTTGCTCGCTGGAGAATAGCTAAAGAAGTCCTGTCAAAAGTTAATCGGAGAGGATCACAGCTGGCCACGGATCTCGATGCTGCATTCGGGCTGTGAGTAAACAACTTGTGTCTTACTTTTAGGCTGTCTGGAGGCATGGACAGCTATCAAAGCTACTAAACATCACATTAACAACGATGTACAAATGAAAGTCGGAGACAAATACATATTTGAAATGATTTATTCACGTTTGCAATGTTTTGAACAGACATCCCCAGTCACCTCATTGTCATTAGTAGTCCTCGCTGTACGCGTCCGGATATCGGCATCGCAACCACAACCTCACACACTGGTACTGGATGTGCATCAAAGTGTTCCTATGGAGCCAAATATACCAAAAGATAAATGTAAACAACAAAAGAAGCGATCGAAATGTGTATTTCCTTGTTATTCGACAATGGCTCCTCAAAGTACACGCCCCATTCCTACCGTTAACGGAACGTAACGAGTTCCCCGGTGTAACCAGTTAAACGGTAACACCGGGGGGACAAAGAAAGACGGACGGACAATCCACACAGCATCAGGAGCGAGCGGTATGTAACTTCTTCATTCATGCTGTGTAAATGTTTGTCAGAACACAGTGTGAATAAGTTACTGCTGCGTGTCCTTGGTTTGTGCCGCTAGAGGTTGTGTGGATTGGAGCATTTGTTGTTCATTCATTAAAACATTAAAAGGATATGTCAATAAGTGGATCAAATTCAGATGTCAATGTGGCAAAAATGGATAAACAAAAGAGAGAGTCGATACTCACTGCCAAGGCTTTGGCAAATAAAATGGAAAAGCTCCAAAAGGAATGTCAATCAAAGGTTCACAAAATGAAAAGTGTGATTAAAACAATGAAGGATCTCATGCAAAGGGATGACAATGCCTCACAAACACAAACTCAACTTGAACATTTAATTCAACTGGTTAAAGAAACCTTCCTGTTACACAAGTCTGTCATTCCTCTTCTTCCTGCAGATGAACAGGAAAAACAAAATGTATGGTTTGCCAAGACACTGAAATACAATAATGGATTTATCGACGATGTCATGCAATGGCTTTCTGAAACTGGGAGTCAACCGAGCAGCACCATTGCACATGTTCCCTCAATTGAGATATCTGATGAACACCAGCAAAGTATGTCTCATGTTTCAAAACACTCTGGGAAAAATGTTGAAACTTCTGAAGCACAAGATGAAATAAAACCAAGCGACAGTGTTTCAAACATAGGAAGCATTGGGTCTTGCAAGCGGAGCTCTGCTGGAACCAGATCCAGTGTTTCAACTACATCATCATGCATCAAAGCTGAGGCTGACATGGCCGCTCTCATGGCACGACAAATGTTATTAAAAGACAAGCATGCATTGGATGAACAAGAGGAAGAGCTCAGGAAAAAGAAGGAAGAGCTCAGGAAACAGAGGGAGCAACTGGAAATGGAAGTGGAAATAGCCGCATCAAGGGCTAAAATGAATGTGCTAAGATGCTCTGGAAGGTCTCGTGGTTCAAGTAACACATCTGTGAGTCCCAATGGCATGCATTCTTATTTGGAAAAGGGACGAAAGGAAGCCACACTCAGTGCTGGAGCAAAAACATTTGTGCCTGACACAAACAGGCCTACAGGTGGCCAGACTGATGCACAGTTTTCGCACAGACAACATGAAGTAGAATATGGACATCTGCAACGTCAAGCCACAAGAAGCTCAGAGGCCAATATACATCAAAGTTCAACACAATCACATCCACAGTTACAGCACCAAAGCAATCACCCAGCAGCACTGGCACCAAGCAGCAGTGCTCAGAATCCTTTAATTAATGTCTTAGAAAGACAAAATGAAATAACATCCATGTTGGTTCAGCAACAGTCTCTTTCTTCTCTGCCTAAAAGAGAAATTCAGATTTTTGATGGCTCTCCGTTTCAATATCAAGCATTCATAAGAGCTTTTGAGCACAGCATTGAGGAGAAGACTCACAACCCTAAAGACTGCCTGTATTTTCTCGAACAGTACACCAGGGGGCAGCCTTTGGAGCTTGTCAGAAGCTGTCAGCATATGGCCCATGACAGAGGATATGCCAAAGCAAAGGCTTTGCTACAGGAGCATGTTGGTAATGCACAGAAAATTGTTTCAGTTTACATGGAAAAGGCTCTTTCATGGCAGCCAATAAGAGTAGAAGATGTGCGAGCTCTGCAAGCTTACGGTCTCTTTCTGAGAGGATGCTGCAATGTCATGGAAGAGTGTGAATACATGTGTGAGTTGAACATGCCTAGCAATATGCTAGCCATCATAAAAAAGTTGCCCTACAAATATAGGGACAAATGGAGAACTCTGGCCTATGACTTACAGAAAAGGCAGGGCCGGAGAGCTACATTCATGGATATTGTTAACTTCATTGAAAGACAGGTGGATATTGTGAGCGATCCACTGTTTGGAGATCTACAGGATACTCCACCAGCAGCCAACAAAGATGTGAGGAAAGCTAAGTGTGAACCTCGTTCAAGGATGAGGTGAAGCAGCTTTGTTACTATTACGACAGCGGAAAAGAAAGTGGAACCTGGAATAAGAATGAAGGAGAGAGGCTCACTAGATACAAGTTTTTGCCTGTTTTGTGGAGGTGGACATACACTGGATCTGTGTTTTCAACTGGAAAGAAAGGCTCA